GGTATATCAGGCGTTTCTAGTCTAATTCTGATTGGTGATATGTCATCAGATTCCACCTTGGAGGATGGCCTGATCAAACTGATAACTTGGTGCAAACCATCGAGCGAGATATCCACTCTGCTTAATAGGTTTGTTATTGTAACCCCTTTGTATACAGGCACGGTGTTAGCTTCAAGACACATGGAAGTGTCAACTCATTGTATGCTTCACAGATTGCAGTACGTGATCCTCACCATCCACAACTTAAGTAATCAGAGAAGAATCGTCACTCTTTCTACGATGCATTATTGCGACAAGCTCCCTCGCCTTCCATCTTCTTCGTAGGGCTATGTGTTCTCCATTTTTTCGTTGCGTTAACTGCGCATTTTTGACTGGTGATAAAGTCGTGCATTTGTGAGGTAAGGGAAAAGGCATGTGTCTTTCTGTAGCTTGGAGGTAATTTTTTGTTTTACTGTCTGATTGGGTATTCCACGGTATCTTTGGATACATGGAGAATACGATCACATTGTGGAACAAGGTGGGTTATAGCGTGGTGAATTTGAGTATAAAACTGCTCCACAGCAGTGTACAAATATGTAGAGGAGAAGAATACATCCCAGTCAAAGAGACAGATTAACTGCTGAAGGTATCCTCGATTTAATTTATATTTTGCACTTCGCAGTGTAGAGGTGAGTTTAGTGACCATTTTAATGTGGAAATTGAGTCGGCTCATTTTATGGTCGCTACCAGAGAGACTGCGTAAAATCTCGGTCTGTGACTTGGGTATCTTCAATGTAAATATTAAGTCCAATACTCTCGACTAGTAACCCTTTGTGTCTAACCTGCTGCTCCAATGAAAGAACGAAAGCCGGTGTGGAAAATGACGATGGGTAAGATGAGCAGCAGATTTTTGCTGTTAAAATTCCCGGAAGTTCTCTTCTGTCTGTGTGGCCAACCTGATGCAAATCCAAATGCAGAATTGATTTTGGCGATACTTACGTTAGGCGCATTTGATGGATTGCAGGTACAAGCGAACAATATGCTAGGGGAGGCACCTGCAACTGACAGCCAAATGGATTCAGGCAGACTTCCTAGTTGTGAGTGGTCTCTACGTTTATCTGAAAATGTTAAGAAGGAATGCGAGATGCGAACAAGCCAGGACCCGATCGCCGCGGCAGGCGATCCAAACTCATCGGCCCTGATTGGAGCGAACAGAGAGCCAACAGTTAGAAGTGGCCAATTAACGCGAGAGCGGCGTTCCTTTATTGACCGTAACTTGACCTTTCCAGAGCTTTCCACGTTCGCTTTAAATACCGTTCACGAACTTTCCATTTCACCTTTATAATGAATGTTGTGATTTGCTAATTCATCACTGTTGTCGTGCTCCTCCGATCCGGTCTTCTCTCTGTCCTGTGCGGGGCCAGCAACTTCAAGTTTGATTGGAAATCAAGCGTCCATTCAGGCGAGGGACGATCACTTCAGCTGGCGACGGGTTGAACCTTAATCAAGATGTCCATATCGGATGACGAGCTCAAGGCCATTCTGCTGCAGCAACAAGCACAATTTGAGGCCTCCCAACTCAGGGTGATTGAAACTCTTACGCTCCAACTCTCCATCCAGACTCGTTCACTGTCTACAACCGTCAAGCCGTCCGCATCGGTAGACGCCATCACTAACAGCCTTACCGAATTTTCGTACGAACCTCATGCTAGTCTTACTTTGGAATCTTAGTTCAAGCGTTATGAAGATGTGTTCCGCGTTGAACTTGGAGGCCATGATGACGATTGGAAAGTCCGACTGCTGTTAAGGAAACTTGGAATAGCAGAGCACTCCAGGTATGTCAAGTTTATTTTGCCTAAGAACGCTCGAGACTGCACTTTTGAGGAGATTGTTAAATACTTAAGCCAAATATTTGGAGAGCGGTCATCCATCTTCAACACGCGATATCAATGCCTGAAGATCACCAAGATAGACGCTGATGACTACGGCACTTATGCTGGCATCGTCAAACGCGAGTGAGAAAATTCGACATCAAATCCACTACGGCAGATCAGTTCAAATACCTGATTTTATCTGTGGCCCACATTCCCCACGGGATGCAGAGATTCGCACCAGGCTGCTGAGTAAACTTGTACAAGACCCGCAAATGACTCTACAGACCATAACTACTGAATGCCAATGATTGCTGAACCTCAGGCATGACACGCTTATGCTGAAGAAGCAACAATCAACCCCATGTCTTAGTGTATTAAAAACCACCTCAAAGAAACCGCTTCCAAGTGAAATGGGCCATCGAAAGCCCAGAGAGATTCCCAAATCTCCGATTGCCTATTGAAGATGTAGTGAGTGGCATTTTGTTCGAGTGTGTCCATTCCTGAAACATGTTTGCCACAAGTGTCATAAACCGGGCCATAAGGAAACGCACTGCCGATCCAGATTGCAGTTCAAGCGTGCTAGACATACGCTACCGAATTCAAATGTTCCCAAAGGATTCAGCAGCTATAGTTGGTTCAAGCGGCCTATTCTGATGAACATGTAGCTCGCAGAAAGTACAGCAGAGTTCACCTGAACGGGCAACAAGTGCGTCTTCAGCTAGATACAGCCTCGGACATCACAATTATCTCCAGCAAAACTTGGAAGTACATTGGTGCTCCGTCAATCAGCCGAAGGACACATGTTGCAATTAACGCTTCAGGAGGTCAACTTAATCTCATTGGTGAGCTGCAGTGTGAAACGGTTTTTGGCGCTTCTCGGGCAAGCGTTGTCGTGTACATTACGGCCCTGTCACATCTGAATCTTCTTGGACTCGACTGGATCCAGAAGCTCTACCTGTTCGACATACTCCTGAGTCACGTCTGCAATACCCTCCGGCTAATATATACGAGGCCCTGTTCGGAAGGTGACGAACCAAACAACAACCTGGTCGAGCAGCTACGAAGGAAATTTACGTCTGTGTTTTGCAACAACTTGGGAAAATGCACAAAGGCCAAAGCAAGTCTAACTCTCAAAGACGGTGCCAAAACCGTATTCTGAACCAAAAGACCGGTACCATACGCTGCGCTTCCGATTCTTGATGCGGAACTTGATCCTTTGGAGCGGGCCGGCGTCATCCAACCTGTGAACTATTCAACGTGGGCAGCACCTATTGTTGTCATCAAGAAGACCGATGAAACCGCTCGTATCTGTGCTGATTATTCTATGGGATTGAATGCTGCTTTGAAAATGCACCAGTATCTTTTGCCAGTTCCAGAAGATATATTTGCTAAGCTCAGTGGTGGCGCTTACTTTGCAAAGCTAGATTTATCAGATGCTTATCTTCAAATTGAAGTCGACGTCGCTTCAAAGGAGTTGCTGGCAATCAATACGCACCGAGGTCTGTACCAGACAACCGTTTGCCGTTTGGTGTTAAATCAGCTCCCGCGATTTTTTAACAAATTATGGATACGATGTTAGCTGGGTTATCAGGAGTCGCAGCTTACTTGGACGACATTATAATCAAAGGGTCTACCTTTCAAGAGCCGAAACTTATTGCAATTCAACGACAGTAAATGCAAGGTGCTTTCCATCCGACACCAAAGCAGCTACTCATACCGACTCGGAACGGATGTACTGCAACAATCAACTCTCGAACGTGACTTGGGTGTCCTGGTTCAAGATGACTTGGGTTGCTGCACGCAATCCGAAAAGGCCTCGAAGACCGGGAACCAACACTTCGGGCTGTTGAGGCGGGCGTTTGGACAAATACACAGTTCCATATTTCGACAAATGCTCAGTGCGTATGTTCGCCCCCATGTCGAATATGCAATTCAAGCCTGGCATCCATGGCTGAAACACGAGCTTAATGCACTGGAGCAGCCACAACGTCGGGCATCTAAAAACGTAATTGAATTGCGCAATCTTTCATACCGGGAGAGGTTGCAACGATTGGGATTGTTCAGTGGAAGCTATCGCAGACTACGAGGCGACCTGATTATGGCATACTTGATTCTGCGAAACCCACATCATATGTACCGCCCTTTACTACAGCTCAACAGCAATAGAAACCTGAGGGGCCATTCATTAAAACTCGCAGAAAAATACAGTCGTCTGGAGTGCCGCAGAAATTTCTTGTCCATTCATGTCTGTCACACATGGAATGTTCTCCCAGAATCGGTCGTCTCTGCACCGAAAATTACAGTATTTAAAAGATGGTTTGGATGACGTACTCATGCACTTACACTTTGTAAATTAGCATTACGTCTCCATCCTGCACCTGGAGTGTACCTTGGATTTATTTAATCTTAACTGGAGGCTGTGAATCTACGCGGAGTGCAGGACTACAGAGCAGCAAACGATAAATCCTTCTTTTCTTATTCGAAGTAATGTAGTATTAGTGTTATCATTAATATTTAGGTATCCCAACCAAATATTTAACGGCGCTTGTAAAGCAGCGCTTCCTAACCCTTAAAAATTCATTGTTCATTGTTCACGTGCTCACTCATTACACAGGTCAGAAGCAGGATTTGGAACGCCTGCTTAACCGTTGACTAGCTTGTTCAGTTACATTGGTGACGAGAGGATGTAACAAAGATTGACGTTTTCCAAAAGAACTATTTGTCTTTGAGGAAACCACACTGCATCTTTATTTATCATAATACTGTACGATTTAACTATCTGCTCATCTAATCTATTCGAAACAGGATTTATGGGAAAATAAAGTTTGTACTGTGCTACTCGCAACGGGAAGGCAAGTTGCGCAAACTTTTTTGTATAGGACTTCCATACGTTAAGCACCTCTCTGTGTTGCCCACTTTGATCCAGTCCCTTGAGTGGTAAGTTTACGTAGGTTTTACTGTGCGTTTACATTTCCTTCATTTTCCTTATCGCAGACTGAGCAGTTGCTATCTCACATGTGGTCTCGTCAGTTGTGCTGCTAGATCAGAATAATAATTCGTTCGATTCGGTGTCGTGTCTCATGTTTCGAAACGCGTGACGTGCTGTCCAAACTATCCGGCCGCGTTTCAGCCCACTGTTGTATACGTAAACTGTCGATGCTGTAAACCGGAAGTTTATCACACTGTGTAACACCAGCCTTTTCTGATCAATATTCGTTTTGCGCGCTTATGTTTCAAGGTTGCAGCACGCGCTATATATGGTTTCATTCAGCTTTTCTTCATACGCACTATGCATACCTTGTGGTGGATTTTGTTGCTGCTCCCATTCTTTGTGACCGGTGGCTTCTGTAAGTTCGCCTCCATCTAGTCGCCAACTCTAATTTGTTATTTTTCACTTAAGTAACTTCTCCAAGCACTACTTTTCGGGACATTTCTGTGCAAAGATAAGGTTATCCGAATTTATTTGCGTGTGGTTATTTGCACACCTCATTCACGGCACACGACTAATAAGCCATTTCAAGTCTAGACATACCTGGTTAGTAATTGACCCTTGTTTTGACCATTGATTTCGCTTTGTTTCACCAGTGCTCCGGAGTGCTTCAAGAGCCTGCGCCGAACATCACCCTAATACTAAGGCGGTTCACTTTTGGTGAGCAAAGGCACCAGAAGGAATACCGCTTAAAATACGAACTCAGGTTTAATCGGGCACCATAAGGAGGCCATAGAACCATTTCTGATCCGCAACGTTGTGAGCGATCTAGGCAAAATAGTAGCCTTCACTTTAGTTTGCAGCATTGGGGAACACATCTGGCGTGAATCACTGAAGCAAATTAATAGGAGTCAAGGACGACTGGGACATTGAGGGTTGGTGCACCAAAGATGGGCAAAAGCCCTGCGTACCAGGTTGTTTTCCTATGCATTTGTGAATGTAAGGTCCCCAATGACAACAATGTTAACTTATGACTCTACGTTCTGGCTTGTAATGTGAAAGAGGTTGACATCATCAACTACAGCAAAGTATTGGAGAATTTACACCCATACAACCGTAATAATCGTACCATTGAAGAATCGTAAGAGCGTAGGAAGCAAACAGCTATGTGCCTTGGGCAAATATTCAAAATGAAAGACGCCTACATGTTGCCAACGCCACACAGCCAGTAAGAGTCAGTCATCGTGTGAAGATAACAGGACAACGGTGAAACGGCGTGCTATTATCTTCGTCACTCTGCATGACCAAGAATCACTTTCTGCGGATAAGACACCATAAAACTCATTTTAAATCGATAATCCGGCTAAGAGGTTGCTGCAAAAACGTAACAAGAGCAAGTCAGGAGTCATGCTCCTGACTGGGCAGGCGTGTCACGCTTAGTCGAGAATAAAAATTAGTTATTGATTTATGTATATGCTTAGTGTGGTAAGTCATGTGAGGCAGACGAGCAAAGGGCAGTGGCCTCATTTCCCGCAGTCGAGCCAACAGCGGAACCTGTCGAAACGAACCCTCCTAAATCCGCAAAAGAAATCAACATTCTCCGTAAGAAGTGGGCTGGCATACACAGCGTTTGCTCAAACCGACTCAGTTCAGTCAAGCGTTACTTGACATAGTTCGTTTATCTACCGTTACTCAACCCGGTATTTGCTTCTCTAATAGTTTGTCCTGGTCCGCATACATTATAGAAGCTCTTCAACTATTCAGAAAACTATCCTTTTACGTTATCGAACTCAAAAGGCTTTTCATACCACGTTCTGTATGTATTCTCCTTCAATGTTAACATTATTCCCTATCTCCCCGAATTTCTTCAAAAGAATAATATCATTTTCATGCACTCACTAAAATTTATTTCATGGTGCTCTGGACTAATAAGGTGCCATCTATTGATTTTTCGTTGTCAAACATGTGAACGCGTGCACCGAACTTTCATTCAGAATTCTAACTGACTCTTGTCCCTTGCACTTCATGTGCCCAGTCCAAATTTATAGTTTATTTTTTCGTGCATCGTCATATCTCATCTTTATCTCCCCTTCGCTCTCACTCCTATTAGTCAAATCAAATCATTATAGGCATCGTACATTCAAGCAAGTAGATACCTAGCATTGTACACCAACATATCAAATAGAGGAATATACGAAATGAATGCATACAAATAAATACTGTCAAACGCATATTGAGCTCTTGACAGTCACGCAATTTCCAGACATAGCGATAGTTTTCTTCGGGTCACCACTTGCTCGTGGCAGGTACGATGGAACACAATTTCTGTAAGATGTATTACGAGAAACTAGAATAATTTATAGCGTGTGGAAAAATCGTCTGGCGTTTTTGTAGGCACAACATGTAGTAGGTGGAAAGGGTTGTTTATAACTTAAAAGAAAGTACTGACCCAATCGTGTACCTGTTTGTTTGACACTCCCGATCCCGGAATGACCAGACGGAAAGTATTTTCGGCCCTCTCGACATCGTCGACAATCATTTTTCTCTACTCGTTACACCTCCCCTATAAGTATCTTCTTCGCCATCTATTAAGCAGGAAACTACCACTCACCTCACAGCTGCTACCATCGATACATTTAGCTCTTCCATCAAGCGTTTCATTTCACATGGGCTTTTTAACGTCCGCACTTTAAGTCAGATCAGCCAAGGGGCAGCATTACTAGTCACGCTTTTGGGATTCATACAATCTGTGTTTGCAAAACACGCATAATAGATAACAGTGCCGTGACAGATATTCGGGTCCTTGGTTCAGAAGCTAACGAAAATGACTGCAATCTTCGCGCCTTCGTCGACACTGAGCTCAAGCTATTTACTATACTGAAATTGCCCTCAGCAGACATGCTAAAAACAGTATACTCGAATGGATACTCATGTGCAGCCACATGTGTACGGTTCGACACGGAATCTCTAGTGAAGTTAACAAGCACCGTCTGAAGACAAGGTGGCTTCTCATTGCCCCAGTTGATACCATTAATAAGCAGTTTAAAGGGTATCAAATACGATTTCTATCGTCATCTCTCATGTCTTCTCTGTATGGTGAATAATACACGCATCGTGATTGTTGCTGGTGACATGGATGCTCAAGTAGGTCCTCTTGCAGGTTCTGAACAACAACTGGGCAGAGTATTCGAAGTCGATGCATGCCGAACAGACACTGGTGGTCGATTCCTGCAACTCTGAGCCGAACACAGCCTTTACACCAGCAGCACTGCATTTTAGCACAAATGTTCACACCGCGTCACCTGGCGGCCACCGAAATCCTCAATGATCTGAACCCACATTGACCATATTGTCATCAGTTACAGATAGTGTACACCAGTCCAAAACTGTCGGTCAATTTGCATCACCTGCATTGATTCCGACTATGCCCAAGCACGCACACGCCTGACACTCACTCTTCGCGCTTCTTAGAAGCTCCTCACTTCTAACATTCTTGCCTGTAACTTGAACTCCGAGTATCAGAACGAACTGGCCTACCAATTGTCACGGATGAATGAGATTGGTGATCCGAACGCTGACTGGAATGGTATAAAGTGCATCAAGAAGAATGATTTGGTGTCTGTTGTGCACCAAACTTGAGATGTCTGAGGCTACTACCAAACTGATCGAAGAACGGAAACACGTGCCAATAGATGGTGAATTTCATTGTCCCTAAACCCCGGTTACGACATCTGACTAGGTGTCTTCGAATCGACCTATAACTTTGCTGGATGACGAGGACACGTGAGATGGAGAAAGCCGGGGCTATTTGGAATATCGAGTGCTATTCCAAGTCATGCGGAACACGGGTCCTAAAAGGTTATCAGCTAGTGCGGCATAACTGAGGAAATGGACGATTGCTTCATTCTCAACCTCGTCAACTAGTCCGTTGGTCGGAACATTTCCAAGGGCAGTTAAGCAGGCCTACTGTGATACTGCCACTTGCTGCATCACTTGACCCGATGTGGGAAGTTGATGTCATACCACTCACTTCGGACGTAATTCGAAATGAGCTCGCCTTCTGAAAACGAAATAATGCTCCCGGACCCGACTACCTTCCTACATCTCTACTGAAAGATGGTAGTGACTGCTTATGGGAGAGACTGGCTTCAGTTTAATACGATTCAGGTTACTGAAGAGGTGCTTTCAGACAGGCGACTGTCAACTGTCGTGCCCAACTGCAAGATGGATCAGCGTACTTTGTGTAAAAATCATCGAGACATTAACCTTATTTCTATTGCGTCCAAATGTATCACGTGTATCATTCTCCGACGACTTGCTGATCCTCGTGAGCCCTGAATTACTGAAAGTGAGGCTGAGTTCCGCCCTGGTAGGAGTTGTATTCATCACGTAGTCAGTTTTCACCAATTGTTGGAGCAGAGACACAAAAAAGCGTCCGATTTTGGTTGCTTTCCTTGACTCGAAATTCGTCTTTTACTGCGTTGACCGTGCTGGCTTGTTTCACTACCTATCCGTGAAGGCTGTGCCACCTGAATTCCTTTGCTCTTTTAAGTCTCTACTGTTGCTCCAGAGGCCGTTCATGGGTCTGCGCGAATTGTCTCCTGAGATCCCCACCACAAGTAGTGTTAGCCAGATTTGTACAGTCTCTCGTCTTCAAATTTATGTTCGAGATTATCATATAGGACTCTGTGCTTTCAGACCCTATCCTAGTGGAAGTTCTATCCTCATCATCATCACCATCACCATCATCCTCATCATCATCAGCAGCAGCAACAGCAGTATCATAATCATCAGCATCATCATCCTCATCCTCATCCCCATTCTCATCAGTATCATCAACACGATGAAAACATGTTAGCCAATGATGAGAAACATACCTCAGCTAATGTGCCGCACTAGACAAAAGATAAACGATTACACATAACCGACTACAAAAGATAACAGAGTGGCAGGAGGCTAAAATTACAATACGCATTCATTTGAGATGGTTGTTGGAGGGGCAAACTAAAGGACAGGGGAGGAACGAATATACTCACAACACAAACGGCATTGTAGTCGGCTCCTCGCTATGTCGGCTATTTTATCCAACCAAAAGTGTTCATCATCCTTGGGACCGCAGTCCGGTAGTCGGGAAACACCAACCGACGCCAAGTTCGAAGTGAGGGATTTGGTTCCTTTGAACCAAGTCATCGCTTGGTCACTCCTCCTCTTCATCCATCCACACCCAGAGCGCGCAAACAACGCATGGTCGCGAGAGCCGGTGGGCTGGAATGCGCAACAAGTGGCCCAGCCAGCGGAGTCTGGTGCGTGATATAATGATATAGAGCTGTTCCCTCGCTTTTTCTCCACCAAAGACATGACGTCGAACACGCTCATTACCCGGCTGATAAACCTTGAGTACGGCTGACGGCATTGATG